GAGAGAGAGAGGGAGAGGGAAAGAGATGAGGAGAGAGCGAGAGGAGCAGGGCAGCAGAAGACAGATGGATTATCTGACATGCGTCTGGACTGACCAACGTTCTTCTTCAAGGTTTTGAACCCTGTTTTTCCTCCTCAGAGTGAAATCTGAAAATGCTTTCCTGCACATGTGGAATGTAGCAGCTATCGGACAGGTATACTGTGTGGTGCACCTTTTTTGATTTCACTGGAACTAAGGAATTTTACACATGGAAAACTTTCCACCTGGATATAAGTGAACTTTATATATTTTTTCTTTTCTTTTTTTTTTCTTAAATTGAGCAACTGCCTGGAAATACAAGGGCACCACTGGAGCAGAATAATAGAAGAATAATAGTGAAACTTCCACAAACAATTTAGAAAGAATTAGAAACGGAAGGAAAGTGGAAAAAAGATTTGGTAGCGTAATACAGACACATAGTAATCGGTGGGTGGTTCTTTTACGTAATCTTTGCTCATTCAGACTGATTTATTTTCCAATACAGATGTGGACTGGAGATTTCTGATCATCCGCTCATAAAAGCCTAAAACTTTTCAACAGTGGAGAAGAGGACTCAATGGAATATCAGCGTGTTTGTTGAACAGTCAAAAATAATTCAGAAGGAAATCTAAGAATTACATACAGCTGCCAAATAATTTGGACTCTGCAGGGGGACCATCTCCCCCAGTCTGGACTGTGGAGGGCTCCCCTCCCTGCCCTCCAAGCCTTTCCTCGACCCCAGCAGCATGTCCCAGGCTCTGAGGCTGCCTCTAGTCCTCCACACAGCACACTACCATGATCAGATGGGCTGCTGGAGGGAGTAAGGCTGCCTCTGCCTCGTCCTGCTCCAGGGCTGGGTTAGGGGATCATTCTGGTTCGACGACCAGCTCCAGACTAAGATCATCAACACTGCTTTCCTCCCTATCTTTGCCTCTCCTGATTACCCTGGTGGTTTTCTCCTTCTCCTTACCTGGGGCGGCCTGCCATCAGCTACACAGAGACAGACTGAAGCTCCCAAACCCACAAACTCTCAGGGTTCCACTGAACATTTCTGAGACTGAGCTTGTGTCTAGGCCCACGGCCACTGGTGGCCCCCTGGGCCGGACTGGGGGACCACAGGGTAGGCATGTGCGCAGCTACAATCATCTCCAAGGGGACATACGTAGGAGGAAGCTGTTCTCTTTCCAGAAGTTTTTCCTGAGGATCGATAAGAATGGAAAGGTCAATGGAACCAAGAGCAAGGATGACCCCCTCAGTAAGTAACTCACTGCAGTACATTCATGCACAAGACAAAAAGAGAGAATCACACCCCAGAGATGATCTAAATCCCTCAGGGGGCTGCGAAAGTTAAAAGTGACCTGAACCTTTGAACATTTGAGCTAAAATGTGTCTGTTTTAACCTTTGTAACTGCCAGTGTAAAACCAACGCTGTCAACCTCTGCAACCGAAACCTCTGACCTTGTTTGGATTTAGAGCCGTTAATAATAACAAAAAGCACCTGTTGGTTGCTTTAAGTCAGGGACATTTTTGGTACCAAGAAACCCTTTTAATGTTCGTTCTAATTGAAAAACCAGGTGTTCATTCTTTGAGAGGAAAAAATCTTACCCCCCAAAATAGATACATAACACCAACACAAATATATACATTTTATACATTACCATACAACGTTCATAAACATTTAAATTTAAATGAAAAACATAATTTTTTGTTCATTTCCAGAGGCCGTCCACTGGTTAGTAGTTTGGATGAAGCAATCCCTGATTAGTCGTCCTTCTGTTTTAAACCAGACATCCCACTGATATCTCTGCTGTCCAAACACTCAGCACAATGATGGTAGTTCTCAGATGGCTTAAAAAGGAGCAGGGGCAGATAACTGGGCCATTATCAGGCAGTCTTCACAGCCCAGGGTAAACAGCACTGATAACAACCACAGAAGAACTGGGCTTTGGGGAGGGGGGCAGGAGGATATGGATGTCAGTGTCGTTGATGCTTTTAGGCTCTTTCTGCCTCTCTGTGGGGGTCTATCTCACTCTCCCACTCGCCTGCCAGCCAGCATCAAGCAAATTACAAACCCTCAGTCACAGAACAGATTTGTTTAAAGAAGTTTGACGTGCTCACTCGGAGAAACACGTCTTTAAAAGTGATTACATGTTGTATGTTTCAACCATGTATCAGTCAGTAAATTAGCATTCTCATTAGTCTCCCAGCGTTCCCACCGAGCTACGTGTGTGTGCCTATCAGCCAGCGGGCACTCACATGCTCCAGTGGGTGTGTGATCATACAGCAGCCAACGACGACACATGTGCTCGCTTATTACGGACACACACACACACACACACACACACTTACATACATCGCTCTCCTTCTCACATGCTCTTTTTCTCCCTCTTCCTCTGTCCCCCAACCCCATAGCGGGTGTATATGGAACCTTTTAATGTTCCTCTTGGGAGAGCTAAACCACACATTCAATCAAAGTGACTTAGGGGAAATGGCACGAGGAGACAGAATGTCAGGGGAGATGTTTGTTTTGACAAGGTCATGACAGAGGCAACTTTATTTACTGACCGTATTACATCGTGATGCCTTTACTGCCACCTTTGTTAGTGGTTTCTTTTAAGTTGTAAACCTGAAGGAAGTCTGAAGCAGTTTATCATAATAGTGGTGTGTGAATTCACCCTGAACTTTATGTATGTTTGGAAGATGATTTACCCCTCTGTCTTTCTTTTTTTATTGACTCACAACTTCTCATTTTTAGGAGCGTGTTGCCTTTTTCAAAAGTCAGTTTGAGTTAGTGCAGATTGCACATTGGGGAGGGAGGTGAAAGGGAGCACGGGGGACTCTCTAGAGGTACAAGTTCATGAATGACATGGCTGAACATCATTGTGGCCACATCAAAGCCGTGCGTCTTCGGTATCAATGGTGGTGCCATCAAAAAGCTGTGTCCTGAGGGGGTCTGGGGACACTGTGTGTGGATTATGTGCCCTCATATCAGGTTCTCACGGTAAAGGATACTACACAACAGCAGCTTCAGTCTTTGCTCTGGCCCCTGGGGCTAGACATGATCCCAGGGCTGACGTCCTTTGTAGACCCTCGATGGTCCCTTGAAGTGACAAAATATCAAGTTTTTTTTTGCGATGAGTGTAGGAAGGCTTGCTTTTCCTGCGCCAGGAGTTGTGAGGCAAAGAAACACTGCTTTCAGATTTTTACGCTAGATGAATTCCTACATTTATCAGGCTTTATTTAAGAGGTGTATGGGGTGTGGAAGCTTTGGTTTTGGGTGCTGCCTGTGGCCCTGCGAGGACCCGGCTCACTGTCTGTTAAAGAGCCAGTATCCAGCCTCCCACAGATTTATGGGGATGCCAGCGCAAAACTGTCCCACATGGCTTTCCAACCCGCTGGGAGCCTGTGCTGAGGTTACAGAGAGAAAGGGAGGGAGATTATGGTAAAGTCAGCTAAGTAGCTATCTGCATGGCCTGAGTACATAATTAAGATATCTATGATTCCCTGAGTTCTCTTAAATTTATAGACAACTAGCAGGTCTGAGTGACTAGTGAAATATTGCTAAATAAGACACAAGCCTGGCACGGAGGTAAAAGAATTTTAGTTAATTATCCACGGCTCAGATGGTGTTAGAGGGTGAGCCTGTCAACATCGTGTGTGTGTGTGTGTGTGTGTGTGTGTATGTGCATTTGTGTCGGGCCACCAGTTGTGTTTCTGTGCTGTAGGGGCCAGACCATGTGTGCAAGATGCTTCTGGACATGGCTCAAAAAGTGTGTGTATATAGCATATGTGCGTAAGTGTGTGTCTTTGTGCACATTCATCTGGGATGGATATCCCTTCTATGTAAATACACTCAATGTGGTCCTTATCAAGTGTTATTGCTTTATATGCTGATTTACGCCTCACTCCACACCATTTTTCTGCATGGAAATGGCACCAATCAAAATTTACATTCCAACTTATCAGCTCAAATGTTATTTTGTGCAGCCCCTGAACATTATTTTTTTTTTTTTAAACAAGCAAAGTATGAATGAGAAAAAAAAAACAATATAAGCTGCAAAGCGTATGGTTTTTGGCATCCCACTGTGGAAAAACCACCTTTAATTCTCACTGGCACTGTGTGCCTCCATTCCACAACCAACGCACCATTTACTGTTGTAACTCCAAACAGAGCGTATCAAATAAGCCACACATTAGGAAAAACCAACCAGCATGCAAAAGAAAAACTGCTGTCTCCCCCAGGTAAACAGCTGAACCTGGCTGGCTGACTTGAGGGGTATACGTTTTACATGTGTGTGGTTTGTAAAATTTACCCCACACAAAGCACTGTTGTCACATTTAAGGCTTACTGTTGTAATCTGGAGCAAGCTAAATGAAGAGCATGTTTTGTTTTATGGCATTTTCCCATACTTGCAGCAATAAGTTCATTACTCTCCAATTGTGGGCCAAACTCATTCAACAGAGAACAGTGAATGGAGATTTTGTAGTTTCACAGCCAGGTTGAGTGTGCAAGTTGTGTGCAAGTGCACATTCACCTGCTGCAATATTAACTATGGGCGTGTGCATGTGTAAATGTGAGCGCATTAATGTGCGTGTGTGTGTATATACAACCTGTCTCGCCCCTGCCTCCGGTGGCTGACTTTGATCAGTGATCATTACAGCCTTACTAATCCTCACTCCACCCCCAGTCTCACTGTCATGGCTCCTCTGTCCTCCTCTGTTCTCCTTCCTTTCATCCCTCCCATGTTTACAGAGCAGCCAGAGACTGCCATAGATTGTCTTACATCCTCACTCCATACCCGACACCCGATCCCATACAGAAACCAGGTCCTTTCAGATCTTCAATGGCCGTTGTGTCACCGTCCCCACCACCGCCTTGCTGCCTCAGACCTCACTGCCCTGAGGTGCCACTGTTTGAACTAGAAACTGATACAGTCAGGACCTCACAGACGAGGAGAGAAGCCGCTGTATTTTAAGAGGGGGATTGTTCTTTGGGGGCACACCTGCATCCTCCGCTGTCCACTCATGTACGAGGCTGGCAGCTTCAGAGGCCCCCCAGCCACCGGAGAGTGGGTCTGACAGTGGAGCAAGCTGCCACACAAACAGTCATCAGACAGAGGAGGGGCTGCTGATCTGATCAAAGCATATCGTCAACTCTCTGGAGTTCACACCCCCATGCTGAAGTGTGTGTCTGAATGTGTGTGCGTACACATGTGTGCTTATCGGGATAAAATAACGACAGCTCACAGGAAGTGGGGAAAGGAAGTTAGAGAGGGAGGCATGAAATCAAACATACCATGGGAAAGAGGGAGGTTCACTCACACGCACACACACACACACCAGCATAAGACGAGAGAAGTGGGTTCTGTGGTCAAAGGACACATTAGGAAGTTATATCTCTCTGACCTCTGATACTGAGACCACACAAATAACCACAGCTGTCTGCAACAAAAGCACACTCTTGTTAACTGGGGTATAAATTAGCCCCTCTAATAGCCTATGATAAACCTGAATTACTTGTATAGGGACTTGGAAACCTAAATACCAAACAGAACATAAACATCCTTAGAATCTCTGCGGTATCCACCTATTAATTTTCAAACTAAATGGCCTGCGCAGCTGGAATCTGTTACACAGGTGTAGGTTGTAAAGTAACTTAATAATATCACTGAAATAATGTTCACAAAGAATAATTGTGACCTTACACAGAGTTCCCACACTGTGCATTCCCATGTGTAAATGCCCTGAAATGAGCATGCAATATGTTGCTATCCATTTATTATTCCACTTACTCACTGTAAAAATATTTACTATATATATATATATATATATATACTAGATAATATGTATTTATCCTGGTCTGTATGTAGACTCTCTGAATGTTTGTGAAAGTGTTAATTGTTCTATATGCTTACAGAAACTATGAGTCAGGGAAACATTTTATCACCTTTACTTCCCTTGTGCATTACAAAAAAACTTTTTTCTCAGGTCAGTTCAGCTCTGACTACTAAGAATCACACACTTGAAAAATCATTTTATGCTCACTGTGAATGTTGACACATATTGATGTAACCGTATTTTTTGCTAAATCCTAGGTATTCTGGAAATCACATCGGTGGCCGTGGGAGTAGTTGCCATCAAAGGGCTGAACAGCAACTACTATCTGGCTATCAGCAGGAAGGGAGAACTGTACGGAGCGGTTAGTATCCGTGTCAGGGGTCAATCTGGATACTCTAGAGACAGAGATAGTGTTAGATTCTTCTGTCCTCATCAAAGTCCTGTCCTTATCTTTACTTCTCTAACTGCTGGGTCAGCTCTGATTCACAACCGGGCCAGTGCACGTACATGAACCTCCAGGGGAACTGTGCAGTTTTAAAAATGCACACTAGGTTCTGCACAAGCACACAAGGCAAAACATGCAATATAGATTAAGGAGTAGTGAATAAACAAGATAACATGTGCAACTACAATAGATTTGCACAAGAAAATGATCTGTATTTTGCCTTAAACTCAACTCAGGGGTTATGACACTGAAACATGATACCTACTGTTTTTCCAGAGAGAGTTCAGTGTTGACTGCACCCTGAAGGAGCGGATTGAGGAGAACGGCTACAACACTTACGCATCAGCCGAGTGGAAGAACAAGAAGCGGCAGATGTTTGTGGGTCTGAATGTCCACGGGAAGCCACTGAGAGGGAAGAGAACCCGCAGGAAGAACACGGCCACCCACTTCCTTCCAATTGTGGTGTGAACTGAAGAACTCAACTGGAGAAGGAGGATATGCAGCACTGGACAGAGAGGTTTTCAATACTGAAAAAAGCTGTAAAATAAAGACATTCACCGAGAAATCTCTCATTTGGAAACAAGGCACTAACACTGTTACTCAAAAGTATGATCTCTGCTCCTGACTGAGATCATGTACTTTATTTGGTGGGAGAAGATGATATCTGTGTTTTCTATGGCACAGGATGCAATATTTATCCTTTTTTTCTGTGCCAAACAGTTTGCAACTGGAGTATGTGTGTAATGTGGATACTGTCCCGGCTGTGGTAGATGAAGACGTTTTTCGAGATGTTATTTATAATCCAAATTCTCCTGTGAGACTCCAGATAATCCACAACATAAAGGGGAGAGATGGAAGAGAGAAATGGATAAGATGAGGGAAATGATCGGTCAGTTTATCATGACAGCATTAAATAATAAAGGAAACAACACATTTAAAGCAAATGTTTGATACTTAACCACTGTGTTTTGACTGTATTGTAATGATTTATTTATTTTGTGAAATATTTAACTGGAGGGGAACACGTACAAGGCAAGCATTCCTTTGCATTCTTTACTTTTTATAGGAACTCCATTATGTGAAAATAAAATACCATTTTCTCCTCTGCAATGCAGTTGTCTTACTTCCTCAATACACCTAAAACTTTTCTCATAAGTAGTGAGAAACCCTAGTGAACATTCAGGTCATGGTGAGTCTATTCTTATCTGGCTCTCTGAGGTACGAAGGGACAAAAGGCAACTATTAATGCCTAGCCAGATATTCCATGTGGCAACCATTGCACTAATGATTCGTTCGCAAACAAACGGGAAACATACAGACCGACCACAACAAAATGGGAGGAAGGTAACTTGTACGGCCTGTAGATGCTGACATCATTTCCCAATATCACCCCATTACTGTGGAGCTGCAGCATTCCCCAATTGCAACAGTGCTTGAATAGTAAAGATAACTGCTAAAGCACCTGCTGATAATACTAGCAAACCTTTTAAAATAGTTTTGTCATGTTGGTCTGCATCAGTGCTGGCAGTAGGTTTCTGGAGGGCGTTAGAGGAGGATCCGAATGTGTGTGTGGAGGCAGAAATGCGAACGAGGGAGAAGAAGAGATATGACCTGTGTCTGACCACCCACTTCCCTTAGTAATCATCTACAAACACACTAATCAATGACAGCTGCCTTGATGCCAGATCAAAAGACTGCAGGAAGAACATTAACACCACAGGCTTCCGGGCCTCATGTTCTCTTATCCCGCCTCTCTGCACATCCATCTCAGCAAAGGCATGAAAATTTGGGAGAGAAGTCGAAGACAGGAAGGTAAGAGACAAACTGCAAAAGACGTACAAATTCATCCAAGTTGTGTGACTGTGACTGTGAGATTAGAAGGAGGGAAAACAACAAAAGAGATCTGAGTTATAGGAATCCGGAGCACAAGAAAGCATTTGCTTTAAGCGATAGTATATTGTCCTTTAGTAGCCATTTAAGGAATAACCGCAACGAATGATTAATACTGAGGAATGCTGCCGTGCATTCCACCATGACAGTCAGGGCAACATATGGATTACTATTTCATGACCTCTACTTTCTGCCCCATACACCGTCTGATACATCTACTCTGCTATCTCAAGTGATTGTGCAATATGGTGTGGCTGTTGCTGAGACCAGATTCACAACAATGTCCTGGGGATACACTCTTGTTGATTTATTGATGTTTCCTAATAGGTAAGATTAGGATTTTCAGAATAAATTCAAGTGTTTTAGAAGTGCTTTGACTTTTATTTTCTAAAGTTACAAGAAAGATCCTCCTATTGTGTAATAGGAGGGTTCATTTGGGCTCTGGTATGAAACTACACCACATACAGTAGCACCGTATTTTCCTTGATTTGTCTCTAATTGTTCTGTATGTAACCTAATGATGCAGTCAATAAATCACCAATGAAATAACCTAGATAATGTGTGCTTATGCAACATCAAACCAGACTTTTTTTGCATTTAAAATCTGTCGTGATGAGTATGTGTACACCAATCCTAGGCATTTGTCATCTTGTGCATTCCGAAGAGTTGTGAATGTTTGAACTCTCTCCAAGATACTGGCATTGGGGGAAAAACAGCAATAACAGAAAATAGGGCCAGTAATCTTTTATCAAAGTGGGTCTCCACATTTCTGGCACTGAAATTCTCTGTGGCATAATGTGATCCAGCTTTGGGAAACAAGTGGAAAATGACTGGAGGCTAAAACAACTAATGAATACTTACACTGAGAGGTCTGGTGCAACACATGTTTGTAGTGGGCAGCTACTGAGTGAGCTCCGGGAGAGAGGCACTTCTGAGGGGTTGCACAGGTCCAGAATCTTCTCTATGATGTTTAAATATGTGTTTGATATATCAGTTAAATGTAATTATCCAACCCTTGGTGCTTTGGCCAATAGTTTATATCAATATGAGGTTATTTAACCGGCTCAACCACACATAACCTTTAATATGTCCATCATTATGTGCTAATGTTATACAGACAACCACTGTCTAAACCCACAAAGAGGGCAATAGCTAACACTGCATGTTCCCAGTGTTTTCTTGGTGATGTTACACAACCTAAGCAGGAGTTTAAATAAATGAGAAATTACAAGTTAAAAACACATTTTTGTCTCTAAATTTGACCAAACACAAAACAAGTAGAACTATATAAATATTTATTAATATTAAAGAACTGTTGTATTGTTAGCGGGCTAGATTTTTTTTTATTCAGACAGATCATATAACAGATAAAATGTGTAACTATAATTCAATAATAGAATTAATAGCCTACCTATAATGTGAACAGATTAAATGTACGTCTTTTTCATAGAGAGCTGGGGTTTTGTGGGGGAATTTGACTCATGACCCAAGAATTTCAACTTCTGCTACTTCTACTACTAATGCTACATTATATTTCGTTACACTTTCAGGGAGGAATATTACACTTAATAGTTGTCACAGTAATAGTTGCAATTACAATTACCTGCAACAGTTAAATGCTACTTAAACATGTAAACAACACTATACAACAATATAATAATATAATGTATAATGATACAAAACTCACAAAGGCCATTTTTTTCATGCTTTTCAAAGTACTTTTAGGAACTGTATGAAAAATATTAGGGGGGGAAAATGGTCTGAATTTTCAAAAAGGAAGACCATTCCCAGCATTTTTATTATTATTATTATTGTTATTATGATTATTATTATTATTATTATTATTATTATTATTTTACAATAAATCTCACGAGGAAGAATTCATCTGGAATGAAAAATAG